GTTGTGGTTTTCCTTTCACGTTGGGCCTTGCTTCCTTTTTCTGCTTCCTTGGCCAGGGGCTGCCTTTACCCGGTTCCAGACCCTGAGGCTTCAGAAGATCTTCCCAGAGGTGTTAGCGGAACAGCTCATCAGCTACGGGAGTTGCCAGTTCCCCACCCTGGGCTTCGTGGTGGAAAGGTTCAAAGCCATTCAAGCCTTCGTTCAAGAAACGTTCTACAGAATTAAAGGTGAGGAGGGTTCAGAAGGTGAGGCCCAAGCAGGGAAACACCTGGACCGAGAAGCCTGTCGTGGGAATTGGCTTTTCAGGGTCGCATTCTTGTTCTCTGCGTTATTATCGTGGGGTCCCCAGTTTTGCATTTCCCACACCCCCTTGGTCTGGTGTGGTAGGGCTTGCGTGTCCTCATGCAGGCTTCAGGCAGCGCGTCCCTTTGTCGGCCATCCTTGGGGCTGCCCTCTGGGCTGAGTGCAGGTGCCCGTCTCGCAATGGATTCCACATCAACACACGCCCGTACAGCTGCCGCCTCGCTGCTCTCGTTTTATCTAGAATGGGGGCGACTTTGGCCTTTGTCGTCAAATTGCATTGTCTGCCTAAAGTGCAGAGGCTGCCTTGGTTCTCCAGCCATTTCCATCTTACTGTTTTGGACTCCGGCAGTTGAGAAGAAGAATCTCTTTCCCTCCCACGCGAGCATCTTTCTGCAGCTGCGAGCGGAACGAGGCCACGGGTTGCCTTGGGTGAGGCCGAGCCTTGATCTGTCTTCTCCCCCGCAGTGACTCACGACCACGAAGAGGGTACCGTGGACTTCAGCTGGAAGAGACACCGTCTCTTCAGCCACACGGCGTGCCTTGTCCTCTACCAGATGTGCATGGAGGTAGGTAAGCCGGCCGGCCTGTCTTCTTCCTTTTGCACTTGGCAAAGAGCTTTGAAGAACCTTGTCTTCCGCACGCCGTTGTCTTAGGCGCCTCAGGCCACCGTCGTGGAGGTTGGAAGCAAACCCAAGAGCAAATGGAGACCTCTTCCGCTGGACACTGTGGTACGCTTTGGAAAAAGACAACCATTTGAAGTCAGAATAAGAAGAGCTCTCAGCTCAGCTTCTGATCCAAGCCCCCTTGGTAGACGCTCTTTTGCAAGCCTTAACTTGGACATTCAGAGGAGACAGGGAAGTGACTAAATCTGAGCACTATTTGGCCTTCTCTGGTGGGAAGTCCATCCCTAAACTGATCTTTTAATCGTGGAAATGTGTCATGGAGAGAATTGCATGGTGATTCCTGGGTTGAGAAGCGTCACCAGAGGCAAGCTGGTGTTCCTGCTTCCAGGAATCCCATTGATTTTACGCGGGCAGAGAGGCATATTTTGCCAGGTAGGGATCAAGCGTATTTTCCCTCTTCTTCGTCTTCTTCTGCCATAGGAACTTGAGAAATTGGCTTCCCGTAAGCTGAAAATAAACGCCAAGGAAACCATGAAGATTGCCGAGAAGCTGTATACCCAAGGGTAGTAAAAGCAGCTTTTTTTTTTAAGGGGAACCCCCCGCAGGGGGGAGGGGGGGGGGGGCTAATGGGACGATGCTCTTTCAGTTCCATGGGGTTTTTCTTTCACCAGGAAGACTTATTTTAACATTTCTTCTCTCCCATCTCTCTAGAGATGCTGCAAGCTAGAAACACAACTGAGCAATGGGTTGTATAAAACCAGATAGGATCAGGAGGCTGAAAATGCATCTCCTGAGAGGAGAGATTAAGGGAGCCCGCGTTGCTCTGAGGAAGGGACTGGCGGGGTGGGGCGTTAGGGCAGCTCTCTTCAAACACCCCACAAGGGGTTGAGGGAGGAACCGCGAGGCCTTGCAACCTCCTAGCTGGAATGGCCTGTAACTGAGTCAATAATTAAATTTCCCTGTCCTCTGTTCTGTCTTAAGAACAGAAAAAAGATTCCTTTTGAAAATAGGCAGGAAGAATAGTCAGGCAGTTGAAATGATATGAGAGACTGTTCATAGCAAATGGGCAACAGCCTCCATGGGTCCCCCTCCCCCCCGGATCTTGCGTGGGCCATTCATCAAAAGCACTTCTTAAAAAGTAACTTTCCCCCTCCCCCTTTCCTGGTTTTTAAAGGTACATAAGTTACCCCCGAACAGAGACCAACATTTTCCCCAAAGACTTAAACCTCTCCCAGCTCGTGCAGCTTCAGACCCAAGACCCCCACTGGGGAGCCTTTGCGCAAAGGATCCTGGACCAAGGTGGGCCAACCCCACGGCGGGGGACAAAATCCGACCAGGCTCATCCTCCCATACATCCCACCAAACACGCCGGGAATCTGCAGGTGAGTCCCCGAGACCGACCGGCAAACCTCAGGTGTGCAGCTTTGCTTCCAAAGAGAGAGCGGTTTGTGACCGGTGCGTTTGGATCTGAGAAGTAAGCGAGGCAGCGCTTACAAAATGCCCTTTCATCAGAGGGCAAGAATATGTTTTCTTCCGGTTCAAAGTCTTCCCTCTGGGAATATTTATTCCTAGAATCTCCAGGTGGGCTTTTCAGGCCAACTCCAGATCTCATTTGAAAGGGGGAAACGTCTAGGGAGCATGTGCCGAATTCCTTGCTGCTCGTGGAAGAGGAAAGGTTTATCTTGACATCTGTACAAATCCATTTCTCCTCCTCCTCCCCCTTTCCATTGTGCCCCCCAAGGGCAACGACCAGCGCCTGTATGAATTCATCGTCCGCCACTTCCTGGCCTGCTGTTCCGAAGACGCGAAAGGGCAGGAAACCACGGTGGAGATTGAGATTTCCAACGAGCGCTTCGTGGCTCACGGGCTGATGATCCTGGCCAGAAATTACCTGGAAGTTTATCCTTACGAAAGGTGGAGTGACAAGGTGGGAGCGCTCGATAAGAAGCAGACGAGGGGCAACCCCCTGAGGAGAGGTTGTGGTAGCTTAAGAGGGGGAGAAAAACTCCTCCCCCCTCACAGTCCCCATTTGAGCTACCGATGCGGAGGTAGTCTTCAAGGTGCCAACCATCAGTCACTCACAGACCCTTTAAAGTTACAAGAAGACCCGCTTTATGGCGGTCACGACTTAGGACCACAAGGGCCAGGCTCCATTCCGGGTGTAGGTCGAAGTCTACTGCATCCTTTCCTCGTTTCTCCCGTCCTTCCTTAGCTCTCCCGCGTAACCCCGTTTCCCCCTGCCTTGTCTTCCTCCCGCACCCCCAAACTCTGCAGGTTATCCCCCTCTACGAGCAGGGCTCCTGCTTCCAGCCCACCACGGTGGAGATGGTGGAAGGGGAGACCAGCCCACCCCAGCTGCTCACCGAAGCGGACCTCATTTCCCTGATGGAGAAGCACGGCATCGGTCAGTTCTGCCCCGGCTGTGGATCAGGGATGGTCTCTCACTCCTCTTCAGAGTTCATTTGGTGTATTTTTTTAAAAAATTATGTACGTTGCCCATCTTGCTGGAGACCTAAGGGTGTTTCCATACACCGGTGGCTCCTTTGCCAGAACCTTTTGGATTCCCTGCCGAAGAGCGTTTCTCTGACACAAGCCTTCCCTGGGAGGCAGGCTCTGGTGGCAGAAATCGATCAGTCTCACAGAGCGGTAAGGGAGAGAAAGGGGCCGAGGATTGTAGGCGTCCTGGGCAACAGCAGAGGACCAGGATATTGAGGCTGGGCTAGGATTGGGCCACTGTTGGCGTCAGGACGGAAGCAACTGAACCCCCCCTTGGTTTAAGGCGTGAATGTTGCCAGGGGTGCACAGAGCTCACCTCTAGGGCTTGTAAGTGAGGACTACAATTCCCAGCATGCAATCGGGGAATCGTTGAGAGCCGAATCTCTGGAAGGCGAAAGGTTGGGCTTAGGGTCACTTGATGGAAAGTGCTCCCAAGCTCGCCAGCTTTGAGACGTGTGGAATTCGGGTGGTGTGGCTCGCCGGCAGACGGTGCAGGCGGTGCAGAGGTATTGGACAGTGAGGACGAACGGGAGCCAGTCAGGGAGTCTGGGGAAGACTCGGATGAGGGTCCTGGGTCTGATGCAGGGATGGGGCCAGGACCATCTGGGAGTGGGGTGCTGCCTCTGGAGCCTCCAGAGTCTGGCAGCAGCAAGGCAGAGGAATAAGGGGAGCCTGTTCCCAGAGCCCGTGTGCGCAGAGCTGCTAGAAGGCGAGAGCAGCTGAAGCAGAAGGGGCGACTCAGGAGTAAGGTTGGGAGGTGATCGCCCCTCCCCTAAGGGATAAAAATCAGGCCAAGGTGACGAACACTTTGCAGGAAGCAAAGCAGTTCAATATTTTGCGAGTCCTTCTTGAAACACTGCGTATTCTGGTGTTTTTTTTTCCTAGTACTGTTCTAATTAATTGGGGATACTTTTGTTTTGGCAGCATTCCACAGCACTGACAGGCGTGCGCTTATCTGTTTGAGTTAGTTTTGGCTGTGAATGAAAATAATTCCCAGCGTTGCATTAAAATGGGTTTTGCTTTTCAAACAAGTTTGTGTTTAATCACGCTTGACGAAGCCTGGGTCAGAACACCTGGGAGCCGGAGTCCTCTCCCCCTCTCAAAAGTTGCTGGGTTGAGAGCAGCCTGGCCCACTCATGCCAACGCTTGGCTTCCAGGAACAGACGCCACCCACGCGGAGCACATCGAGACCATCAAGTCCCGCATGTACGTGGGGCTCACCCCAGACCAGCGCTTCCTTCCGGGACACCTGGGCATGGGGCTGGTGGAAGGTAAGGATGGACCCCGTCTAAAACCCCGGCTCCCCCATTGAGCCTCTCCCCCGCCCACTCCTCTTTCTGCCTGTTCCCCCCCCCCCCAGGCTACGACTCCATGGGCTACGAGATGTCCAAACCGGATCTTCGAGCCGAACTCGAAAACGACCTGAAGCTGATTTGCGAGGGGAAGAAGGACAAATCCGCCGTGCTCCGAGAGCAGATCCAGAAATACAAGCAAGTCTTCGTGGCCGCTGTGGCCAAGGCCAAAAAGTGAGGGCTGAAAAACTCCCATCCCCCTCAAGGAAAATTGGTGGGGGGGGTTTGTAGCCCTTGCCTGGACCAGCTCAGTTGGCAGTGGATGGAGAGGAGAAGAAGGGCCAGGAGGAGCTGCAGATGAATCCCTCTTTCAGCCTTTGTCTCTTATCTACAAGGGAAGCGCCTGTTTCAGAAACTGGGGGGAAAAGTAGGCACATCCCAGAACTTTTATCCAGTCGGTGCTGCTAGCTCAGTGCGGGACAGTGTTTAGGTCCTTCCTTGATCAAGATCAATCGTGTTAGCAAAGTACTAGGTAATTTATGTATTTATTTAGCTGTCCAAGAGAAACTGGGTGGGGAGCAAGATAAATACACCGTCATGAGAGGTTAAAACAACAGTTGCAGAGAGGCACAACCCAACACCACGTGGAAAGCCACACGCGGTTTCTCCCTGGACTTTCTCAGAAATCTCTCCTGAAATAATGTGCACAGATGCTTAGGATCCATGTAGCTGATGGCAGTGAGAAATACGCCCGCTTCATGTTTGTTTTTGTCAGGTTGGATGAGGCCTTGGCTCAGTATTTTGGGGAGATGACCCAGGTGGCGCAGGAGGATGACATTTACCCAGCGATGCCCGATCCGGTTAGGAAATGCCCCCAGTGCAACTCTGACATGATCCTGAAGACCAAGAAGAACGGAGGGTGCGTTGGCATGCTGCAAGAAACACGAGCTCTCCCGGTTTAAGCAGAAGAGGTTTTCTAGCAACTTTGCCCACACAAAAAAGCACTAATTGGAAAAACATTAAGCCAACCAGACCCATTTTGACAGTTGATCCGTAACTGCGTCTCTTCGGCTGGTTCTGACGTTTCCACTTGTGTTTCTCTAGCTTTTATCTCAGCTGCTTGGGCTACCCTGCTTGTAAGTCCTCAGTCTGGTTTCCCGACTCCGTGCTGGAAGTCAGCAAGGACGAGTCTGTCTGTGGCATCTGCAAGCCGCCTCCGGTGCATCGGTGAGTCTCGCACAGGGGGGGCCCTCGAGCTTCGTTTCTGCTGCCGTTCGGGATGTCCGGAGCGGCTAAGTTTTGCACGCTTTGGAATTTCAGGGCGTGTTTGCATTCCAGCTGAGTGTTGTCCCCACCCTCCAATTCAGGAAACCTGGGAGGGGAGATTTATCTGGCTGCCTCAGGCACAAAACCTGCCCTCAGCGCCCCCGGTTGGAGGGAAGCCCCCTTTTCAGAGCCGTGGTGGCGCATGGTTAGAAGGCAGGATTGCAGGGATGACTCTGCCGACTGCCAGCAGTTCGATCTCAAGGTTGACTCAGCCTTCCATCCTTCTGAGGTTGGTAAAATGAGGAGCCAGATGGCTGGGGGTGATACGCTGACTCTGTAAACCGCCTAGAGAGGGCTGTGAAGCGGCATATAAGTCTAAGTGCATTTGCTACTCAATGCCTGGGAATATGCAGCTGTTTGAGCGGACTGGATTTCTACTAACCTAAAGCCTTCCCTCGCTTTCCTTTCCCGCATCTTAATATCCCTGGGCAGACCTTGAAGTCCGTTGGCAGGGGGCCACTTGGACGCAGGGGCCGAGCAGAAGCTTCCGTGCTGTGGGGCTGCAGCGCCAGGGGCTCAGGGCCCATTGCTCCCCTTCTCTCCCCCTGCAGGCTGAAACTGAAGTTCAAGCGAGGCAGCCTCCCCGCCATGATGCCCCTGGAGTTTGTGGGTTGCGTTGGCGGCTGCGATGAAAATCTCAGGCAGATCCTAGACCTCAAGTACCTGCAAGGACCAGCCAGGGCTCCAACTCAGCCGAGGAATCCCCCCAAGGAAGCCCCTGGCCCCCTTAACGGCACCGTCCACAGCCGTGGTCAGCGCCTGCTGGCTCCCGTGCCCCCTCCTCCTGTGCCGGCACACAGGGCTCCTCCTGCGCTCGCCAATGCAGCCAGGAACGATGCCGTGATGTGCAACTGTGGCGAGGAGGCCCTGCTTCTCACCGTCCGCAAAGAAGGGCCCAACCAAGGCAGGCAGTTCTACAAATGCAACACCGGCAGCTGCCGATTCTTCCTCTGGTCCGACCAGCAGGAGCCCGACTGGAGGCCCAACGGGACATCCGGTTTCCTGGCACCACCCCAGGGCTCTTCCCTGCCAGGGCAAAGGGGCTCCGCAGGGCCCCGGAGGGCGGGCTCTGATCCCGGAGCCAGCGCTGGCCAAGGAGGCCCCCTCTGCAGGTGCGACCAGCCTGTGATGATCAGGACAGTGCAGAAAGACGGGCCCAACAAGGGGCGGCTGTTCCACACCTGCTCCAAGCCGCGGGAGCAGCAGTGCGGCTTTTTCGAGTGGGCGGATGAGAGCTTGAGGCCAGGTAGGTGAGGAGCGGCCAGGTTTGGTGGGTGGGCATGGTGGAACGTGCAGCTGAAGGGGGGAGGGGGGAACGCTGGCAGCGACACCTCCGTTTTCTGGGAAGGTGGTGCAGCGCATTCCAGAGGGGGACCAAGTTAAGAGGAGAGTCAAATCTTAGCAACCGTAAAACTTGGGCCCTTGGAATCCCAGCCGTGGAATTCTGGCGTTTGCAGTCCACAAGCCTTAAAAGCTGCCAGGGTTGGGGCCCCTCTGGGTTAGACAGTTCTAGGTTTAATCTGGCACGCTTCTATCTGCTGGGTGTCGGCAAATAGAGGTACACTTGAGTGGGTCTCACCACTGTGTTGTTTTTGGACGTGGACCCGACAGCAAGGTTTGTATGATGATGCTCCTTTAAATAAACTTTCCTTAAGAGCTTCCCTTATAAGCTTGGGACCTCGCCCAGTTCCAAAGGACAGGAATGTCCTGCCAGCAAGAGCTTGAAGGAGGAGAGAGGTGAGGGGCTGTAGCTCTCTGCAGAGATGCCTTCCATTTTATCCCACCCAAAGGTGTTGGGAAAACGACGTTTAAACTCCTGGCCACCAGAGGATACCAAAATGGAGAGAATCCATCCTCAGGTGACTTAAAACTCCCCTAACTTTCTCCTCTCCTCCCGTTGCAGCCGCCTCCACCTTTCCTCCTCCCATGGGCGAGTGGGCCCAGCGGGGGCCTGGGGCCAAAGCGAAAAGGTCAGACAGCGACTCTTCTTTGATGGCGCCTACGAAGAAACCAAGGACGTGCAGCGTTTGCCACCAGCCTGGCCACACCAAGACCACGTGTCCCCAGAATCGCTGAAGCAGCGTGGGCCACGGACGAGAAATGAGGGCCTTCTGGAAGGCTGGGCTTCCTCCTTGCAGGCTTCAATTCTCCACCTTAAGTTTGAAAATATAGGTGGGACTGTGGAGGCAGGTGTTTCTCAACCGTGGCCGCTTGAAGGTGGGTGGACTTCAACTCCCAGAATTCTGGGCACGGAAGGCCTCCCGTCTTCAAACATGGTTGAGAAACACAACTTCAGACTGTAACACTATGCTGATGTTTTGATTTTTAAAAGCTTTTCTTCTCTTCGGGAATTTAAACGAGGAAGGGGCGTTTCTCAAAGACCTGGAACTCACTGTAGGACTGATGCTTTCTTAGAGAACGTGCTTCCAAAGCCGAACAAACTTTTCCTCTATACAAATCCTATTCCACCCTCCCTGTAACTGGAATAACCATAATTTATTCAAAAGGGAAATATGTGTGTACAAAACCCAGAGAGTTTAGTATTTCTAAAATTCCTCTCCTGCTCAATGCTATATTCTTAATGCTAAGGGCAGCTCCTGCCTGCTCTCAACGGATGTGGATAATATTTTTTTAAATTAAAATATATATTTGGCTTAAGCTACGACGTGTTGGGTGTGCCGGTAATTCAACCCCCTACATAAGCAGTACTGAAAACATGACAAGTTTACATCAGAAGTTGGTTCCTGGGTGCTCAGAAGAAACCTGAGCTTGCTTGCTTGCTTTATTGATTTATTTATTCATAAAAATCAGACGAACCCTCTCCAGGGCAGCTGCCAAGCAGAGGGACCTCCGCAGCCCTCGCTCCGAGCCCTGGAGAGAGCATTACGTTCAGAGGGGCACGTCCGCAAGATTTCAGGGCTCAAGCCATGGGGAAACCCGAGAGGAGGGAAGGGGAACCGGCTACCCTCTGCCACCTCAGCCCTCCAGTCCTGCCCTGGGGAGGAAGACCAGGCTCCCTGCAGGAGGAGAAGGGCAAAAGAAGCCGGCAAGAGAGCGAGTATAGTCAAGGGCTTGCAATCAAGGGCCGTTTTTACTTCAAGAGCTAATACTTTCATTTCATTCGGTGCAAAAGAATTGCAATGGGGGGGGGCCGGAGGAGGGGGGGGTGAAGAGATCCCTCTCAAGTCTTCTCCATCCGAAAGGAAGCCAGGGCTCTCTCCACTCTACAAACCCAGCCCATCCGCAAGGTTGGGTGCAGCTAACGCCTCGTACAAGGTGCAGCCGATCTCGTCAATCTCCTCCGGGAGCAAGTGGCTCAAGAGGTCAACCCTGTCATCGAAGAAGCAAGGGAGGGAGCCTTTGGCCAGGTACTGGACCAGCTCCTCCAAGACCTGCTGGAGCCTCACGGCTAGCATGGCCTCGGGCCAGTCCGGCTCTGTGAGGCTCAGGTGGAGGATAACGTGAGTCAAGTCGCTGCCGGTTATTCTGCTCCAGAAAGGGTGTTTTTCAAAGGTGGCCTTCAAGATGAGGAGGCAACACTGCCGGATGCCGCCGTCTCCGGCATCCAGCTCTTTCAGCTTGGAAACCTCTGCCGCGTAAAAACTCTGCTGCCAGAGGTTCTCCACAGGTTCCCCCGAAAAGGTGGCGAGGAAAACCTTGCCCTCCATTTCCACTATCGGGCAGAGGGTGATGTCCAGGAGGACCTGCTCGTGCCTGACTTCCAACTTCAGCTCCCTGGGAGCCATGGAAGGCCGGATGATGCATTCCAGCAGGCTGCCGATGACCGGCCAGTTGACGGAGCCCACCAAGGTCTTCAGGAGGGCGTCGTTGATCGAGTTGGACGATAAGTACCCGCCGACAATGAACTTGTCCCAAGGGCTGCTCCCCCGTGTGAAATACTCCAGGCCACTCCGCTTGATCATCCCATACCACGAGTTATCCATGAGCGTCTCTTCCCCACGGATGAAGTGCCAAAGGTGGTCCTCTAGGACCAAGGGAAGGTGGAAGACCACCTCCAGTTGGTGTTGGCCAACGAGGTCATCGCAAAGGTAGCCGCTCAGGGAAATGTTCTCAAAGGGCAGGTCCAAAGATTTGTTTTTCAGGAAGGTCTGCAGCTCCACCCGGATTTCTTCCGCCAGCTGCTTCCCAACAGCCTTTTCCGCCTCGGAGACGTAGATGTGATCCCTGTAGAACGAGAGGAGTTTCTCCTGAAGGGTGAGGCAGAGCAGGGACTTGGACTGCCCCAAAGGGACCCTGGAGGGCAGCGCAAGATCTTTCGTGTCTGCAAGGAAGATAGAGAGAAAAGGAGGTCAGTTACAGGAAACCCACGGCCAGCTCATTGACCGAAAAGGTCTTCTAGTTCAGGGCCCTCCAACCGCAGCCACTTTAAGACTTGTGGACTTCAACTCCCAGAATTCAAAGCAAAGCTGGCTGAGGAATTCTGGGTGTTGAAGTCTAGAAGTCTTAAAGTGGCCAAGGATGGGGACCCCTGGTCTAGTCAGTCTGAGAGTTCAGAGAAGGAACCAAGGACCCGAAGAACTGGTGGTTCTCCTTCCTTAGTTGTGTTCAAGCCAAAGCCGGACAATCACTAACCAGGGATGCTTTAATTTGGATTTTGGCACTTCTTAGGGACTTGGGATGGATGGGTTGGAACCAGGGGCCCCATCCATCTCTGGGGTTAGATATCTGGGGTTTAAGTGTACAAGGCCACCCTGGGAGAAAGACCCCCCTCCTCCACCACCACAGGAGCATTGGATCAGGTATCCTCAGGGAGTGGCCCCGTCCTGGAAAGACCAGCCCCCTCCCCCACGCCCAACCTCACCTTGCGCAGGTGCAGCTGTGACGGGGGACAGCAGGGGCTCCTCGACATCTTGCCGTTGTGCTTTGGACCCCCCCTTGATCAGGCTTAGCTCTTGCCAGCTCTCCTCCAGGGACTTCTGCTTGGCTTTCATGTCGTCCTCGTCCTCGCCTGGTGGGCTGGTGGCTCTGTCAATGAACTGAAGGAGAGACCCCGCCCCAATTAGCAGGGGCCACTCTTCTCCGGAGGCAACCCCACCCTGCAGCCAGACGGCTAGAGGTTTCCTTGGGGAAACATCTGGGCACATCTGGACCTCTATGAGGCTAGTTCCAGGCTGCTCTGCAACCAGGCGCCCTCAACCCAACACACACACACACATACACACACACCCCAGTGTCAAAATAAGCTTTGAATGGCAAACTTCTTGAGAAGGGACGGATCCAGCCACCAATGTTGGCTAGCTGCCCATTTCATGTGTAAACAGATTGGCTTAACCGGGTTATTAACTTCACAACTGTGGCAAGGAAGGTGGTATAATGGAGGCAAAACCTCGCTGAACAAATGTCTCGCTTAGCAACAAAAATTTGGGGCTCCATTGTGGTCGTTAAGTCCAGGACTGCCTATACTTTTTCCTACTTTTTACGGTTCTAAACAGGCCAGAACTGGGACATTTCAAGGACTGACTGGAAAGGCCATAACCTGCGTCATGAAATTAAAAAGCAACGTAGGTGGCACTTCTGCTCGGTTAATCCCTCCTCCGCTTTCAAGATACGAGGCTCTGGCCTGTTTGGCTGGCAGCTTGAACGAAGGGTTTACTTACCCCCCCGTCTCCCAACAAAATGCACCCACAACAGCTGCATGTGAGCCCACCCTCACACACACACACCACACACATTTAATGCTCCACTGAGCCACAACAGAAGGAGAAGCATTAAAAGAAAAAAATTGTGTTTGTGGGTCTTTTGCAAATTACAAATCCGCAAGTAATCCTCTGAGTTTCATCAGCCAAAAAGAGGCCAGCGGAAATATTTAGGACAAAAATAGGATTTCCCCAACCCGTCCCGAGCGGAGCTGGAAGGACGGTGCTTCTGCAGGCCTGGCAGTTGAGCCAAGATGACCCACACATTCGCAACTCACAATGTCCACTAACAAAAGGCAGCCAGCAACGGGCCGGGCCTGCTCCCTATAAAGGCATGTTCGTCATCACACAAAATACACGGGTCGCCCGTGGCAGAGAAGGGCCGGTTGGTCTCACCCTCTTGACCGCCAGTGTTGCCAGGGCCAAGACAGCTGCACCGCTGACCCCCAGCACCACCCGGGCGTTGGCCAGCACCAGGTCAACCAGGCTGCCCAGGCTGCTCTCGTCCTGCCTCTTGCCCTGCTTGCCAGCATAGGTTGCCATCGTCCTTCTCCAGAAGCCAGTGCCAACTTGGCTAGTGCCACGGGAAAGTCTTTATGGGCGCAACCGAGAGAAGGCAGGAAGATTCAACGAGGACCAGGGCATTCTTGGAAGCTTTCAGGCCTGGAAGAGGCAGAGAAGAGAATTAGCCACCGAATTATCTACCTGGCTCTCTCGGTGCTCCTCAACCTTGGCAGCTCTAAGATGGATGGACTTCAACTCCCAGAATTCCCCAGTCGGCATTCTGGGAGTTGAAGTTCACCCATCTTCAAGCTGCCAAGGTTGACAAACATCGATCTCTCTCTCTCTCTCTCT